TTGTTGTTGAGAATATACACAGCAGAACATATACCATTTCAACAATTTCTACATATACAATTTACTGACACTTATTACATTTTTCAAGTTATGCAGCCATTCTCATCCTCCTTTTCCAAGTTGTTTCTCCCGTGAACATAAAATCATTGCCCCCTAAGTTTCCTATCTAATCTTTCTAGTTATTGTTGTCAATTTGATCCTATACAGTAGGTTTTAAACCAAAATAACATTCTTAAGTGTGTTCAATGAATATGAAAAGAGCCTTCTTAGGACTATGACCAATATTTTAGCATTTTATGTGGGAAAATTCAGTTTAGATGATTTTCTTTCTATTCTTTTTACAAATAGTCTTCCTTTTGCCAATACAGTCACAGTCATTCAAGAACAAACCAAACCAACCAGCTGCTGTTCGGTCAGTTTCTACTCACGGAAGTAGAACTGTGCTCCACAAGGTTTTCATGGCTGTGACCTTTTGGAAGCTGATCCCTAGGCCTTCCTTCCTAGGTGCCTTGGGTGGGCTCGAACCACCAACCTTTGGGTTAGCAGCCAATAATTTAAGAATACCACTCTTTTAAATAAGTTCTTAGTAAATCAGTAAATTTTGTTAGTTTGGTCAATAGTGTATTTGGCCAATTGGCTTTCAGTGAATTGACCTTTTGGCAAACCTCCCTCCTGTTGCTTCTGGGTGCCCTTCTTGGCATGACAGAGCTCACAACTTGGCAGTGCATGGCTCAGGGTATCTCATACTGAAATCCCACAGCAAAACACAGAGATAAAAGGTGGTGCAGGCCACACCCCAGAGAAACTCCCTTTACATTGGATCAGGGAAGTGACCTGGGTAAATGTGGTGTTACAATCCCACTCTAATCCTCTTTTACATAAAATTACAATCACAAAATGGAGGCCAACCACACAATTCTAGGAATCATGACCCAGCCAAACTGATACACACATTTTTTTGGGGGACATAATTCAAACCACGACAAACAGTGCCTGGCACAGAGTAGGCCCTAAATAAATATGTGCTGAATTAATGAATTATCACATATAATTATCACAACAGTCCTATGAAGTAGGGTATGCTTGGTGATGGCAGTTGTGGCAATGGTGTTACAAAAGTACCCCAAACTCTAAAGGAGGGGAGTCCTTTTCTCTTACCAGAGGAAGTGTGCTCTGAAGAGTGGGGGTAGAATCTCACTGTGTTTTTATTTTCTCTGTCTATCCTCCCACCATTTGACCTGGAGGCAAACCCAGTCATGGGACATGTGCAGAAGAGTAGGGAGACGAGAGCTCTGGCTGTCTAGCCGGAAGACCAGGGATGAGGGACCTCTGGGAGCAAGAGAATGTGGAGAGATTGTGTAGAGAAAGAAGTTTGAAAAGAGATTTTAATGTTGTATATGAGCTCCTGAGTTCACCTTTGAGTGGACATGTGTGGATCTGACTCTAAACAATATATCAAAGGAATTGAGAACTGAACTATGGGCTCACTGGGGTTGTAAATAAAGATAGGTAAGCTTTCCGCTTTCTGTAAGAATCAAGGACTTCTTGCCTCCTTTACTATTTCTTTAAATTGATATCATTTTTTTCTTTAAGGTGTTGGCCATCTACTTGAGGAGAGAAGTGAAATGTATCAGTTGAAAATCAAAGAATCAAGAACCATTCCCTTTATTTACTTTTGGAATGGTACCAACTGCCTGACATGAAGGTGTCCAGGAATGCAAAGATGAAGAGTGGGGTAGAGTGGACAGAGAGGCTGTTTGGAGGAAGCCAATTGGCTGGGCCTCAAAGGTTGGTAGGGGTTAAAGGGAGGAATTCCAGGAGGGAGAAAGAGGATAACCAAAGTTACAGAGGAAGGAGTGATGGGGAGCAATCAGGGTGATTCATATAAAGGACTCATTTTAAGGAGCCACATGAGGGGAGCTTGGAGCTGTAGGGCAGAGCAGCATCATGGAGGGCCATGAAATTAGGTAGTAGACTTTGAAACAGAACTCAAAGTACTAGTGATCCATAGCAGGTTTTTGAGCAAAGGACTGATGTGGCAGAAGCAGCATTCTAGGAAGATTATTCGGTACTAACTACTGTCTTCTCTTCCTATCTTAGACTCACCCCTGAACAAGAGGATGTTGTTCAGATCATGGGAAGACTCATAGATTTACTGTTCTTCACTAAAGTGGGCTTTGATGGTAGGATGTAAACTCAGATTCCTTTAGTCCTTGGGTCTGAGATGGGAGTGTGGTGGGTTTGATCTTATTGATTGAACCACATGGTGCTTTTAGCCAAGGTCTGGTGGTGGGAAATCTCTTAGGAAGGCTTTCTCAAGCCTTTCAGCAATTGTCACTTTGGACCTGTCTGTCCTTCCTCCTATACTTTTTCTTTGTCATCTTTATCATCCTCTTGCTTAGGGAACAGAAAAGAGCCCAGTATGGCTGGATCCAAGTAAGCAAAAGAAGAGTGGTAGATGACTGTGTATCCATCAGCTTTCAGGACTTCTCCCCTGGGGTCCCCCAGGCACTTTCATCCACAGTAGCCACAACTAAAGGCATCATATTCCTATTGAATCAACTTATCTTCTCACATTTGCAGTTATCCTTGGACTCTCCAACCTGAGACATGGATGGGCGCTGCATGTGCTCCCTCACTCACGTCCTTCCAATCCTACCCCCTAAGCATCTCTCAAATTGGCTCTTTTCTCTCCTTTGTGAAACTAGTGTCATCATCTCTGTCTAGATTTCTGCATCTATCTCAAACCTCTCTGTCTACCCTTACTAAGGACACCAAATCAATCACTATGAAATTCACGTACATCTGAAGATTTTCCTGTACTGCTTAAGACCTTTAAGATCTACAATGTTAGATCCAAACTCTGTTCCATGGTCCTATCCTCCCAGGCCAGGGCTCTTTCCAAAGTATGAGCCTTCAAGTAATGGTGAAGAATGACAAGACCCCCAGTGCAGAGGAAGAGCTAGTTTATTTGGTAAGAATCATCGAATGTAACACATGCCTGGTGGGCAAGGAAGAGAGCAGGTCCCATGAAGAGAAGACAGCTCTGATCCCAAAATGGTGGCTACGTCATTGTCTAGGACATAGACCGATCTTCTGTGAGCCCTGGGAAGCCGGGCAGGGAGTAGGCTGAACAGCAGGAAATGTTTCTGTTGGGAGAAGACCCGGTCAGAATGGAGACTCAAGATAACTGACTCTTATTGGTATTGGTGCATCATCAAACCCAGTCTCCAAGGGGTGGGGAGGAGGCTGAGATCCTGGGGCTAGGGGTCTTGTCTCAGCCACAGGGCAGCCTAAGCCTGGGGCCAGGTAATTCCTCATGCATGTATTTAAGTGTGTGCATGTCCATGTGTTCTTGTGTGTGAATGTGTGCATCTGAGTGTCTGAGTGACTGTGTGTTTATCTGAACATTTATGTGTGTGTGTATGTGTTTCTATATGTGTATCCATGACCATGTGTGTTTCTCTTTGAAGCTGTGTTGCTCCACCTGACAGCATTTCTGTGCATCTGTGTGTGTGTCTGCATGGGTGTTGGTCTCTCTCTTTGGATGTCACTATCCCACGTCCCCTGCTGCCCCCTCCATAAAAAGGACAGCCAGTCCTACAAATCCTGGGGGGGTGGGAGTAAGCAGGAATCATCGTGCCCACCATCATGCCCACATAGCAGCACTCACCAGCTTGGCAGAGGCCAGGGCTCTTCCAGGAAGGCTTAGACCTTGATGACAAATTCCAGTCCATGGATCAGCTTATCTGGACAAAACAAAACAAAACAGATCAGAGTGATGGTCTCCGTGTGAAGCAGTCCAGAATTCATGCTGAGGCCTAGGGCCAAGGGATGGGAGCTCTAGATATCCAGTTCAGGCTGGACTTCGAGAGGCAGGCCTCCTTCCACCAGCAAGTCCAGCTGTTCTCTGTATCAGGTCTGACTGGGGGAGACAGAGTCTACATATAAATGTATCTGGATAATTCAGGGCAAAAACAAAACCCAAAATGGGGAGAGTTGAGGCCAGAGATCTGACTGTCTTCTGGTTTGCAGGAACAAAGCTCCCCATGGGAAATTGTTGTTCCTACAAGGGAGACAAGAGGGCTTGGAATTGGGTACTCACGGGTAATGTCATACAGCAGGGTGACATCCAGGCTGCCGAGAATCCCATTGACCAGAGGGCACACCTAGGGCAAAGAGGGGAGTTAGGCAAGGTGGCACCTGTAAGGAGACTCTGGTGGCAGCAACTTCCCCGGGATGAATTTTTTCGGGGAGATTTTCTATCATTTTACTATCTCTGGAAGTGCTTGATTCTAAGTCATCCCACAGATGAATGCTCACACATCAACACTGGGCACAAGGAGAAACTGAAGCCATGAATCACACAACATGCCCAGGTTCACTCTGTGATACCACATCTGCTTCTAAATAGGCTGGGCTGTTCTGTAGGAGCTAAATTTCTGGATATAAGGGACCCCAAGCATAGGGCCAGACTGGCAGCTTCTGGAGGTAGGGGTCAATCCATTCCAGCTGGAATGTGGACAAGCACAGAGCCTGGCCCAGAGCAGGAACCAATCAATGTATTTTAAAGGATAAAAAGCAGAGACTTGGACAGATGGATCAATGGACAGATGGACTGATAGATATAAATTACCTATTAAACTGAGAGGCTCAGACCAGTTCACCCAAGGAGTTTCTTTCAGCCTGAGAATCTCTAAGACCCAAGGATCAGGAGACTCCCACTTTTTCCCACTTACCTTGCCATGCACCAGCTCAGGAAGAACATTGTCCAAGATCCCAGTGAGGCTGTCAACAAGGCTTTGAACAGGGAGAGGGGCATTTCTGAAAGAGAAAAGTCATGGGGTGATGTTACACTTGCAGAGATCTGGAGCTGCTATGGAGAAGACTTCAGAGGGACCACTATGCCCACCACAGTCTCAGCACTAAGTAACTGAAAACTACAGGTGAACACCAAAAGGCCTATCTAATGGAGAGTTATACTCCACACAGCACACAGTAGTAGATATGTGTTGAATAAACACATTAATACACAACAGTTATTCACAAAGACTTTGTAGAATCCATCAATGAATAAACAGTGCTTAGTACATGGCTGTCATGAGGATTCAACATATGATTCATGTGAAGCACAATATTTGTGTTCAGTAATTGTTAGCTATGATCAGAATAACTATTGCATATTCTGCATGTCTTAGTCTCCCTGTGTGACAGGTAACTAAACTAAGTAACTTAGTTAGGCTCCGTAACTATTTTACCCTTTACTGGGATAAAGCACAGTCATACCTAGTATACACAGTTATACTAATGATTCTAGCAACAATCCCAATGTAGCTCCACCTTACAGATGAGTAACCTGAGACCTAGAGTTGGGGAAGCACCATCCAAATTCATACAGATGCTCCGTATTCCTCCCCTCCCACTTCTCACTGAGAAATGGAGCTTGAACTCAGATCTCTTGTTGTCTCATCCAGCATAAAATTGGCTCACTGGTTTAAGAAGAGACAAGGGACTCCTTACCCATTCATCTACCTATCTATCCAACCATCCATCCAACCACCCATCCGTTCATCCATCCACCTATCCATCCTCCCTCTCATCAATTTTCCCACCCTTCCAACCTCCCATTCACCTATCCTCCCATTGTTCCATCTTTCCAACCATCTATCCATCATCCCACCCTGATGTCTACAGGCAGAAGTCACCCACTCTGGCCTCACCTATCAAGCAGGGAGATTTTCAGGCTGTCAGGAAAGTGAGTACAGTCACCAAGGATCAGGTGGGTCTTCCCCTGCTCATCTTTTGCAGTTAAGAGTTCTGCAGTGATGTTCAGCTTCACATCCAGCCTCAACAGACTTCTGATCAAGGCCCTGCAGAGGAGATGGACCTGCTGGCATCTGGCCCTACCATATTCCAAGGCAGAGGGGGATTTTCTCCTCACCAGGAATTCCTGTCCACAGCTGTACTCATCTCATTTCCCATTAGGGGAAACCAAGGCTCAAAGATGTCAAGTGAGTTTCCCAGGGTTACTTGGCATAGCAGCAAATGAGCTGAAGTTGGAGGTTTAGGTCTATTAGACTCCAACACCCGCTTTTTGGTTACCCATGGTCATCAGAATCTCCCTTGGTGAACCATCCTCCCATACCCTTTGGGACCCACTCACATCTTTACGTTGAGGACCAGGCCCAGAGGGATGGTGACATAGAGACGGTGGCCATCAGGAGTCTGTACAAGGTCAAGTTCCAGAAGCTGGGGATCAGTGACTGTCACTCTGTCCAGGGAGCAACATTGAAGGGAGAAACATCAGCTCCTCTAGCCCCAAGCCCACTAGGGCCAGAAACCATCTTTAAGTCAACCTCACTCATCCCAGAGATGGAGCTTCCCATGAAATGGGACTGGGGAAACAGGAGGGGAGTCTTGAAACAAAAGCCACATGGGTTCTAAATTACACATTAGTCTTCCCCAATCTCTACACTGGGTTAGATCCTGATACACTTAATGGCCTTTCCTCATCACAAGTCTATGAAGTATTCCAAAATAGGGACCGTGTCTGAATAATACTTGCATCCTGTACGCCCAGCTCAGAACCTTACAAAGAAAGGGGTATTTCATATTGGTTGAATTTGTGGATTGATGGGAGGACGGACAGCTAGATGTGTGGGTAGATGAATGGAAGAGTAAGTAGTTAGATGGAAGGGAAGATGGAGGAATGGATGGATGGATGGGTAAGTGGATGATGTATGGGCAACAGCAGTAAGTTTTACACAAACTTTTATGGATCGGAATCACTCATCCTGCCATGGCCTTCAATGACAAGTCAACTGACAATATCTATCATGGGTATTAAGGGGCATGAAGTCAGGGAGAATGGGGAAAGGATGATATTGAACCTCTTCTCTGAGACAGGCACTGTGCCAGGTGATTTAAATCTTCTCTAGTCTTCCCGACAGTCTTTCTCAGTGGATATTATAATCTCTGTTTTACAGATGAGGAAACCAATAACGTACTTAGAGAGACTGAGTGCATTATCAGAGGTCACCCAGCAAGTATATGGTACATCAGAGAATCAAACCCAAGTCTGTCTGTATTCAAGTCAGGGGATAAGCACCTGGTGGATAGGGATCTTGGAAATTGCTTTGCTCCAGGCCTATCAAGGACCCAGCCTTTGTCAGCATCAAGCATTTCCATTATTGCATTCTTGTCTCATGTGAAACAGCACATTGGGTCTTTCCATGGACATCACATTGCTCTTAATCACATCACCAATATAATTGAGGAGGGCAACCTACACTTTCCTGCTTACATTAAAGGCCACCTGTGTTTGAAGGAATTCCAAAGGTGGAGAGAACAAAATTATTGCAGCGTAGCGGAAAGAGCCTTGGCTTTGGGCTTAAGTAAATTTGAGTTAGATTCCTTGCTCTGTATCACTATAGTTGTGTGGGCATAGGCACCTCTTTGGGTTTCAGTTTTCCCATCTGTAAAACTGGAATTATTATACTGATCTCAAAGGGTTTCTGAGAATTGGAGATGATGCTGGGGACCCAGGACATGTGAGACGGCAGGCTGGTGTGCCCTGCTAGATTGTGAGAAGGGTCTCAGGCTTGAGTCTTGCCCCATGTTCAGATCGGGCCCCTCCATCCTCCAGGGCTACTGCCTAGGATGTCAGATTTCCAAATGGGCTCCCTAATGGGGGCCAATGCCCTCTTTCAGGGCAACTCACTCTATGAGGTTGTTCAGGAGAGGGACCACTGAAGTCACTCTTCCAAGAAGGCCCCCAGCCAGGCCACCAGAGTTGTCTCCTCTAGCCTTCAGGATGTCCAAGAGTGGAAGGTTTTTGAGAATGCCCAGCAGGTCCCCGGAGAGCAGGCCATTGGTGAGAGCTGGAAATGGATACAAGGGTCCCCAGGGATCAGATTGGATAATTCCATCTTCTCCATCCTTCCCTCCCCCTCATTCATCCCTGCTCTCACACCACTGCCATTGGATAGTTGCACACACACACACACACACACACACACACACACAACATCTGAAAGAAGTTATCAGAGACTCTCACTTACCACTTGTCAAGCTTCCAGCAAGATCTGTCGGAATTGAGGGCAGAACCGGGTTCAGGGGCAGAGACTGGGTCAGGGGCACAGCCGGGCGTAGGGACAGGGGCAGACCTTCAAGCAGGGCGTTGGTTTGGGCCAGCAGCCCGCAGAAGACAATGAGGCCCTCAATTTGAAACATCTTCTCTCTTGATATCTATGGAGAGAATGATGGGTCCAATGTGGCGTGGATATCAGAGAAGAATTTATCACACCCCAGCCCCTGCTCATCTGGGAGCAGGATTCTCATTTGTCTGTTCCCCAGGACACCAGGTAGTGAACAGTAATAGCTAACACTGTTACTATGATAACATTGAGCATTTTCTCTGTGTGTGGCATGAGGATGAGTGCTTACACTCAGTGACCTATTTTATCTTTCCCACAACCCTAAGACGTAGGCACTTATTACCCTCATTGCACAGATGAAGAAACTGAGGTCTAGTGGGTTTCAGTAACTCCCCCCAAGGTGGAAAATACACAGTGGAGATAGGATTCGAAGCCAGATCTGTCTGACTTAGAGGCCTCTGTTTAAACGAAGTGACCACCAGATTTATCCTCCAATAGCCTGTGTCACTGCTCCCAGCCTCTGCTCTTGGCAGACAAATTAAGAGGCTTAAACATACTCATGGCTGAGGAACCAGACTGCCTCGCAGTCAGCCCCACTAAGCCCTTCGGTTCCAGGTCTAGGCCCTGATGGTTTGTGGAAGCCTCACAAGTCACAGAATGCTGGAACTTGCACGGCTGTAGCCACCTTCTCATCCAGGCCTGAGCTGGGGAAACCTTGGGGCCATCCAACACCTTCATTACATGTAGGGAACCAGGAGACCAGAGAGGACTAGTGATGTTCTCAAGGTCACACAACAAATCAATGGCAGAGCTGTGGCTGGAGGCAGGACTCCTCACCCTACACACAAACACAAGCCTACCCACTATCTTTTCTTCTTCAAACTGATGAATTTCTGGAGCAACCTCTGAGGTTTGTCTGCCTTTTGAACCAGCCCCCTCCCAGATATCACTCTTCTTTTCATGGGCCTATTTGGCAGCCAAAGGAGTTAAAGGTGTCAAAAGCCAGAGCCGGAACCTATACTCTGGATATGACTAACAGCTTTGGGCAAAATCCCATCAACTGGCCAACGTGGCCAAAACGCTACCACTGTGACTGGCTGAATTGAAAAGGCCTTTTTGGCCCAAAAAACCAGTGGGGCCTCCCTGGGGAGGTAAACTTGGATTGGGAGCTCTGAATCTCTTTTAGGCAACAGATTAAGAATCCAATGGAAGCTAAGGATCCTAGTCCTGGAAAAATGAATCAAAAATGTACAAAATGGGGTGGATAATTTTAGGAGGTTCATGGATAATCCTAATCCCCACTGGCAACCTCGGGTTAGAACTCTTTCCTTAGAGATTTTGACTTAGGGTGTGAATAGCATTCCCCCGAGAGGGTTCTAACCTGGAAAATTCGGTGGTTTATACTTGCAACCACCTGCTCCCATCACCATCAAATTTTCTGCTACAGAACATTTCTATATCAGTGTTACTGGTCTCTTGGAAAAGCAGAAAAAATGGCTAACCTCTCCACTCCCCAGAAAATGGCCAGATCTGCTTCTCTTGAAAGTCCCCCATCGAGTGACCCTAAGTGGAGCCTGCCAGTGCTCACCCACACAGCGAGCAGCTCCAGCAGCCCTGCCACCCAGCGGCACTGATGGGGAGAGGAGCGGGCTGGTCTCACCTGGACGTCTCAGAGGGCTTCGCGCTGTCCTGGTCTACTCTTCCCTCTCCTGCTTGCTTCTGCTGAGGAGGCAGCCTCTTTTATAGTGTGAGAATCAGGAAATGTGGGTTCAGAAGATGGGTTTCTAGATATTCAGAAGTCTGCAGTCTGGTGGTGTCTTTCAGGGCTTTCCAAAGTAAATAACTGCCAGTCACATTAGCAGGTAGGGCAGTTACGCCATTTGAATGACAAGTTAAACAGAGAAAAACTTGAGATGGGGCTGTTACTCAAGACTTCATGCTTTCAGGGATAGGGCTGGAGACCCATGCTGTGAGGTGGCCTGGAGGATCACTTGTGGGACACTGGGAGAGGCAGCCAGAGGAGCCCAGGAGGGACTCTCAGTCTCCTATCAAGGCCCTTTTCCACTCCTGGTCCAATTCTTTTCTTTGATGGGGGACTCTTGATCCCTCAGTGTCAAAAAGAGTAAAACTGCATCTGAACTCCATACATCCGGGGTGTCCTCAATCCCGGGGCAGGGGCCTCCCATTTTCTGAGTCTCTATTGCATGAAAGTTACATGTGAGGGGCTATATGTCCTCACAACAACCCTGAGAGGGAGGGTTATTGCTTCTTACTTACAGACGAGGACACTGAGGCCCACGGGGACAAGTGGCCTGCCCGAAGACACAGAGAGGTGGCAGAGTCAGAACTCAACTTGTTAGCTAGTAATAACAATAAAAACAACGTCAACCAACACTTCCTGAGCTCCTGCTGTGCCCCAGGCCCGGTGTGCTTCTACACATACAGTGTCGCATGAATCCTCACAGCATCTTGTAAGGTTGGAATGAGCACCGCCATTTTACAAGAAGGAAACTGAGGCTTAGAGTGTGAGTTGACATGCTGGAGTTACATGGCTGGTGTGAAGCCAAGGCAGTCATACTCCAGGCCTTTCTCTTATCACTCGGCTGAGAGATGGAGGCAGCTTCCCCACACTCAAGGAGCATTTTGCTTTCCCTTGTCCATGAATTTCATGCTCTTAAGCTTCCCATTTTCATATTCTGGAATATTCTTTCCAGGTTCCCAGGTCTGAGGGATCCTGTGTATCCTGGTCTCTACCCTTACCCTTTCTTCTACCTTCCCCCCATGAAGGATAAGACATTTATCTCTACCACTTGGACGTTTGGAGTCCACTGTACAAACGAAAAAACTGAGGCACACAGAGGCCAAGGTCTTGGATCGGTGAAAGCAGACCCTGCCCTGCAAAAACTAACATCCTAGAAGCAAAAGAGAGAGAAGAAAATGCTCATTTACTGAGCCCCTACTATGTGTGTGATACTTTCCATATTTGAACCTCATCCTCATCAGAAGTGGTTGGTATTGTTACCCCTATAAGTCAGATAAGAAGCCCTGGTGGCTCAGTGGTTAAGTGCTCCACTGCTAACCAAAAGGTTGGCAATTTGAACTGACCCAGTGGCTCTGCAGGAAAAAGACCTGGCGATCTGCTCTGTGATAGTTATGTTGTGTGTCAACTTGGCTAGGCCATGATTCTCAGTGGTTTGGCAGTCATATGATGTTGTGACCACTGCCACGACAAGATCTGATATAATGTGGTCACCTCCGTGATGGGATCTGCTGTGAGTAGCCAATCAGTTGAAAGGGAGTTTCCTTGGGCATGTGGCCTGCATCAACTATAAGTAGGCATTCTGGTAAGTCTCATTGGCTTTTGCTTGTTCTGGATCCTGTAGCTGGCTCCTGTTCATCTGACTTCTGATTCTTGGGACTTGAGCTAGCAGCTTACCTGGGATTCATCCATCTTCAAGCCTATGAGCAAGAGCGCTGCTCTCTGACCTGCCAATCTTGAGTTCACCAGTTGCTGTGGCTAAGTGAATCAGGAGAAGTCTCTATCCTGATCTACGGACTTGGTACATTCCAGCCTCTACAACCTCGTGAGCTATTTCCTTGATATAAATCTCTCTATATATATACTTATACGCTTTACTGGTTTTGCCTCTCTAGAGAACCCAGCCTAAGACTAGCTCCCATAAAGATTACAGCCTAGAAAATTCTATGAGGCAGTTCTACTCTGTCCCATGGGGTTGCTATGAGTCGAAATTGACTCCACGGCACCTAACAACAACAACATTGATGAGTAGGCTGAGGTTCTGAGAGGGGTAACTACTTCCCAAGGATACACAGTGAGTGAGTGGTGGAGTTGGAATTCACCCTCTGTCCGCCTGAATCCCTGTGACCACTGAGCCTGCTGCCTTTCCCTCATACCAGGCCTGAGCTGAGCCTGCTTCCATTTCCTATGAGAGTCCTGGTTGATACCTCCAAGGGGCAGTTATTAACAACTCTTGTGGGTTGCTCAGGTCGCTTCTATCCTTGTGGAGAAACTGAGGAAGATAAATCAAGGAACTGATTCAAGTCTGAGCAGTTAGTTAATGGACAGCTTATATTCTCTGGTGCTAAGTCAAGAAGCTGCGTATGTGTCGTGGTAGGAAGAGGGTAGGTTTGAGAGCAGACAGCCCTGGTTCAAATTCTGTGATCCTGAGCAAGCCACTCCAACCCGCTGGACTTCAGTTTCCTCATCTGTACAATGAGGAGGATAAGATCTGCCTTGCAGGGTTATTGGGGCACAATGTTTGGGAAGCTGGTATGAATTTCAGTTCATAAACTCAGAAGTCCATGAATTTTTATTATTTATCTATAAACAAATAAAACCCATTGCTGATGAGTTGCTGTTAGAATCGACTCAATGGCAACGGGTTTTTTCTGCTTAAACTACTCCTGACCCCAGTATCATGATACCAAAACCCATTGCCTTTGAGTGCTATTCCGACTCATAGCAACTCTATAGGACAGAGTAGAACTGTCCCATAGGGTTTCCAAAGAGCAGGTAGTGGATTCAAATTGCTGACCTTTTGGTTAACAGCCTAGTTCTTTAACCACTGTGCCACCAGGGCTCCAGTATCCAGATAAAGGCCTATTATTCAACAAGTCCTTCCAGAAGAAAAAGTGGTGAATCTGTAGCTCTGTGAACCTCTATGAACTTTCATTCTATGAATGAAAAGAAAACAGAATGCAAGAAACCCAAGGAGGCCCTTTAGGTAGCCCCTGAACTTCCCCAGGAGGGTTCAGGAGGAAGGAGACAAAAGATGCCTTCACCAAGAGACCAAGGAAGCCCCGCGGGAGACAGGGCCGAATCTCCCATGTTTGCTTTTTGACTCAGGAGCAGGAAGAACCCCTCAATCTCCAGGCTGTCAAGGGGGGTCATTTGGGTGAATGCCAGAGTTTAGGGTTGCAAATCCTTAGCGAAGCATTTCAGATTAGGGAGCTTGAATGGAAAGATGGAGACTTGAGTTTCTTTTGCCTTATTTTCATCTGAGCTGTTGACACTTCCTTGTTTGAGTTCGCCAACCCAGCTGAACACGTATTTCATCACTTTCCCCTGGAATGAAGGGAGGGAAGGTGGTGTGGGGGTGGGGGGTTGTGCATTCACAGTGGTTAAGAGAGTGAGCTCTAGAGTCTGGCTGCCTGAATGCAGTCTGGACTTGGCCATTTCCTTGCTATGTGACCTTGGGCAAGTGACTTTATCTCTCTAAACCTCAGTTTCCACATGTATGAAATGGAATAACAGTTTTGTTATGGGGTTTGCAGTGAGAATTTGATGAGATGCTGAATGTAAGCTCCAAGCGCCTAGGTTGGCACATACCAAGTGTTTAGTACATGAGTGATACTATTATTGTTGTTATTTCCCCTTGATTTCTCAGTATATTTTCCAAACCCTCAGGCAGAGGAGGGTGAGAATCGATAATTAATAACTGAATAGTCAATAATCAACTAATTAAAAATTAATTAAATGACATTTAATAAGAATTTCCCATGAGCTCTGGTGGCACAATGGTTAAGCGTTTGACTGCTATCCAAAAGGTCAGCGGTTCAAATCCACCAGTTGTTCCTTGGAAACCCTATGAGACAGTTCTACTCTGTCTTATAAGGTTGCTATGAGTCGCAATAGACTTGGCAGCAACGGATAGTAAGTTGAACATAATACAAAATTTTTGTGTGTGTTTGTGTGTGTGTATGTGTGTATTCATCACAAGCATCCTGCAAGGGAAGTATTTTTATTTTATTTTAAAATTTTTATTAAAATAGATATTTATTAAAAATGCACAAAAGTGAATAGTTCAATGACTTTTCACAAAGTAAACTCCTCCCCATAACCAGCACCCATATCAAAAAACAGAACGGTATCAGCCCTCCAGAAGACCCCTAGTCCCCTCCCAGGCACTAACCTCTCCCAGAGGGTAGCCACTCTCCTCTTCTCTAACAGCATGGATTAGTTTTGCTTGTTCTTGAGCTTCATGCATAGGGGAGCATATGACACGTGCTCTTTTGTGTCTGGCTTCTTTCATTCAACTTTGTGTTTATGAGACTCATCCAGATGGTCATGTGTGCTTGTCACTGCTGCGGAGTATTCCACTGGGTGGCTATACCACAAGTTATTTACCCATATTTTACTTATCTATTTTTGGATGAGCGGTTAAGGGGTTTTTAGTTTGGGGCTATTATGAATACTGCTGCTGTGAACATCACTGTACATGTCTTTTGGTGCCCACGTGCATGTGTTTCTGTTGAGTATATACCTAGTAGGGGAACTGCTGGGCCATAGGGCAGGCACGTGTTCAGCTTCAGCAGATGTTGCCACACAGTTTTATAAAGTGGTGGTAAAATTTACCTCCCACTAGCAGTGTGTGAGGGTTCCTATAGTTCCATGTCCTGTAAGATTTCTAGTCCCATTTTGCAGATGAGGAAGAGTGAGAAGTAAAGGGCTTTGTCCCAAACAGCTAGTGAGTCATAAGACCAGGATTCATTCACCCGTTTAAAGATAAATATTTGCCGAGCCCATACTTTGTGCCCAGCTCTATGCTGGGAGTTGGGGACTCATCGGTCACCATGATGGACACGGTCCACACCCTCACGGAACTTCTAGTTGACCTGAATCTAATTTGAGCTCAGATATGTTCAGCTCCAAACTTTATGCTTGTCCACTCTATCACCCTTTTTCTGGAGCCCAGGGAACTGCTTGGTACATAGTAGGTGCTCAGTAAATATGGGTTGAATGAATAAGGCAGTGAGAAATCTCAACAGGACCCTCCATGCATTGTTCAGCAAATCCAGTTTTCTGTTTGCAAACTACAGACCAGGGCTGCTTTCTCTGGTATTTCTGGGCTGATGAGAAAACCCATGGATATTTAGTCTCAGGATGGACCATTTATCAGGTTGGGCTCTTGGAACCCAAACCTCAGGGCCCAGGCAGGGGGACCTCTACATCCTTCTGAGCTAGAGGGAGTTTATTGGGAAAGAGGACAGGAGGTCCACAGAGCCTGTGGTAAAGGTTTTCAGGGATAGCGAAGCTCAACTCTGAAGGAGACTTAAGGTCCCAGGATATGGCAGGCCCCGATCGTGGTAGGCAGCTCGAAGACATTCGGTCTGGCTTGTGGAGGTTGGTTGAATTCATGAGGTGCAGCCTGTTCTGTGAGAAGAAGGTCCAGCTTCAGTCACCAGGTGTCCATCCTCCCACCCACAAATCCACACTGAAGGGAAACCTATCCATCCTTGCCGACCAAGGGCCAATGCCAGGAGCGCTCATATCCAAACTCTTCCCAAACAATCTTTAATTATTTGCTTCTTGTCTTTCCTTCACTAACTGTGAGCTCCATGAAGACAGGACTGTATTATCTGCAACTGGAGTGGGGATGGGCTCAGGCTGAGGGAGGGGTTAGTGGTCCTACGGGGTTGGGTGAAGATCTTGACAGAAGCTACAGTCTCTGCTAACCTGAGGTTTGAGTTTGTTTCGTAGGGGCCCCCTCTGTTGCCTCAGCTCTCTCAGGGGACAGTACTGGTTATCATAATATGATCACCTTTAAAGTGTTTTCAGAGCACGTGCAGACAGCCCTCAGGCTCTGGTGGAGGGTACCTCTTCCAGCCATTGGCCAAGTCCGAGCAGTCCTTCCCATATGGCCGAAGACACACACCCAGTAGGCTTTTCAACAGTTTCACATCCAGCTGCCTGAGGATTTCGTCCATCAGAGGACATACCTGGACCACGATCACAGAGAAGCGTTAGGCCAGGGGCTGGGAAAAGAAGGTTGGAGTGCCTGTGTCTGGAAGCTTTGACTCAACTGGATTTCCAAAAGGAATTATGCCAAGAGGGGCTCCCTTGTATTGAGTACCAATTTCACACTAGGCACCATGCAGAGCTCTTTTGTGCTTTGTCTTCCTGAATCCTCGTGATAACCTTGTGAGGTAGGGACTGCGATTGTTCCCATGTTACAGGTGGGAAAACTGAGACGCAGGGAGGCTAAGTCACTTGCCCTAGGAGACACAGCCAGTAGATGGCAGAACTGTAATTTTAATTGAGCTTCAGATTCCAAAGCCCAAGATTTGAAACTCTCTCTTAACTGCCAATATAGATTCCCTGACCCTCAAACTCAAGGATGCCCAAGTGGAAATTTTTTTTTTTCCAAAAGTTACCTGGCTTGCTACCAGGCGTGGAATAACTTTTTCCAGGTTCTCTCTGAGGTTGCGGATAAAATGTTTCATCTTTGGTGGGGTATTCCTAGAAAGAGAGGTGGGTGTACAGAACATAAAAATACAGTACATAACAACGCCAAGTGCTATATGTTAAGTACACCTTACACAGTCATTTCTTCCTCACCCAGTCCATACCAGAAGTATCATTGTCAGCAACAAAGGAGTAACTCAGAGAGGTGACGTGACCAAGGTCACACAGCTAGTAAGTGCTGATTGGATCAGAATCATGTCTATAGAGCTCCAGAGGCCACAGTCTTTCCCCTCCACCGTCCTCCCATGAATGCTGCAGATGGGCTGCCAAGAGTAAGAAGGAATCTAGGTACTCAATGAATGTGTGTTGAGTAAATGGATGGGCATCCACTGAGGACTTAGCTGTAGTCAGCATGCTGGGATTACAGAGATAAATCAGGCACAAACCTTGCCCTTGAGGGACTCACAGTCTGTTGAGGTTGACAGACTTGGTCAGCCAATCTACAGATCTTTATTATGCTCTAGTTTTTCTGTCCTGTTCACCACTGTATCCCTAGCATCGAGCACAGTGCCTGACACATAGTAGGTGTTTGGTAAATAGTTGGTGAATCAATGAGTGATGAGACCGAGTTTTAGAGAAGAAGGGAAGGGCACTCCATGCAAAGGGATCATCACATGCAAAGGCATGGTGGTGTGAAATGCAGGTCATGTTGATGGATGAGTGGGTCCTTTAGAGAGGCTGGAGGCAAGGGCTACAGCTCCAGGCAGGGAAAGGACAAGTAGGTCCTTGAGTGACATTTGGGAGTCTGGGCTTCATCCTGAGAGCATTGGAGAACCATTGGAGGATTTGGACCAAGGGTTGGGACTCGACCAGATTTCTGTGTTAGAAGGTTATTTCTGCTGCAGTGTGGAGAATGGAGTGGAGGAGGTGAGATCTGACTCTGGGAAGCCCAGGAGGAGGCTACTGCAATGGTCCAAGCAGCTGACTGAGCCAGGGCAGTGACTGTTGGGGTGGAGAGAGAGGAAGGATAAAGGGCTACCAGGAGATCATCGATGGGAACCAGTGACAGATGGGCTGCGGACAGTGAGGAGGAGGAAGAGTCTGGCTCCTGATAGGGTTGCAGGGCCATCACTGGGATGGGGACATGGGAGGAGCAGCAAATCCAGAGGGAAAGGATGAGGTCTGTTTGGACTTATCCAGGAGGTGGTGGAGAAGTGAGGCTGCAGCTGGATCTGGCAGGAAGTGGGGCCAGGGCTGGGGAATAACAGCCTTACTCAGTTAGGACCATCACACCGACACTGCTGGGCTCCACATGGCAATTGCCCATTGCCAGATCCCTCCGGCCAAACTCATCTTTCTCCAGCCAGAATTCCACAACGAGGTTCATGCGTGCACGCAGCTGTATAATCTTGTTATTGAAGGGCCTGGGGAAGAGAGAGCAGAGAAGGAGGAGGAGGAGGTGGAGAAGGAGGAGGAAGGAGAGGAGAGGAGACAGAGAAAGAGTAGAAGGAGGTGGAAGCAGCCAACATGAAGAGTGGCCCACCCATGTTGGCGAAGACGGCCACTGTCTGCTGCCGGGGCCTCCCCTTGCACTCTGCGCTCTTTCAACAAACCAGTGAGGAAGGCCCAGTGGGGCTTCTTGTTGCCTGGATGTTAAATCCCCAAGTTAGGGATTAAGGAGCAAACTGGGAAAGCCAGAGTGGCTTTCAATAGACCAGATTAGGGGCCTTTAAAAATTCAAAAGTTGAAAATTAACCTCTATTATCAAAATCTTTATCGTTTAGCTGTGACCTCCCTTTCCTTGGGCAAAGGAAAGTTTGAACAACAGGAAAGAAGAGTAACGAGGCAATTAATCACTAATTAATCATTAACGGGGCTCTCTTTTTTTTTAAAAGAATCAAGCCCAGTGTAGTGAATTCACATAGGTTTAAATGATCAAATGACCTCCCTCCATTGTCTAACGATCTCTATCCACGCCTTAGCTAAAGAAACCAAGGCTCAGAGAGAGAAGTGACTTGCCCAAGGTCACACAGCGAGTGAGTATGAAAGCCAGAATTGAAGCCAGGTTGGGTCCCGAAGTCCTGGGTTCCCAAGTTTCCCAATTTCCCCCCAACTCCTGGGTTCTTAGTGCAGAGGAGCAGAACCCAACAGATCCTGCTTTTCTGGGACTCACAGTCTAAATCTGATGTCAAACTCAAGTGAGATATTCGCCGAGAACCACTCCTTATGGAAAGACATTTGGATCCCGCCATAGTCCAGCTGAATGTTGGTGATGTTGATGCTACACAAGGAAAGAGTAGAGGGCCTATGTGAGTGAGGGCCCTTGGACAGGCAACGCTGTGTGCTGAGAGACAAGCTGGTCTGTCTGCAAGGAGGGCCTGGCAATGCGTATTGGAGTCAGGTTGTCTTACAGACGTTCTGAAGGCAAGAGCACACAGCAGGGGCCCTGGGCTGTGAGCTGGCCCAGAGTGCCCCATTAGCTTCACACAGCTGCTAATGAGCTGAAGACCCAGACCCAGGCCCTGTCCTCAGATGGAGCCTCTCATCTCATTCACCTAGCCCAGGCCAAAACTCAGGAGCCATACTTGATTTCTCTCCGTCTCTCCGTGCCATCCAACGCATCAGCAAATCATGTTGGCCCTGCCTACAAAATATATCCCCAGTTTGGTCACTTCCCACCACCTTCTTTTCTGTGACTTGGTCCAGGTGGCTATCACGACTTGCCTAGTGATGCTCCAGAATAGGGCTCCCTGTGCCAATCTTGGCTTCTCTATAGACTATTCGCCACACAGCAGTCACTCACCTGCCACTCAGCATTCTCCACTGGTTTCTCATTGCTCTTAGAATAAAATCTAATCCCCATACCACAGCCCCTAAGGCCCAGCAGGATTTGATCCCTGCCTGCCCCTACAGCTGGATCTCCTACGACTATTCCCCTTGCTCACCTAGCCATACAGGCCTTTTTCTCTTCCTCAAAGAACTCCAAACTCTTTCCTACCCCAGGGCCTTTGCACTTACTGCTCCTTTAGCCCAGCATGCTCCCCCTACCTCCTCATGTCACTCACTCTGTTTAAGTTTCTACTTAAGGGTCTCCTCTTAAAAGGTTTTTGTAATCAGCCTCCTCACTCTAACTGCTCACCTTGCTAAATTTGTCTCTATAACATGTCCCTCTACTTAAAATCAGTATTTACTTTTGGCCTATCTCACTAACTAGAATGCAAGACCTAAAAAGGCAGAGATCATGTCTTGTCCAAAGCTTTATTCCTAATACCAATCCCAGATCCTGGTACACAGTAGGTGCTCAAGGAATAACTGTGACATTTGTTTGAAGAATGTATACAAGATCATTATGCCTACACATCTCATATAGATCAACCCTGCTGGTGACTACTAGGTCTACTTCAGATTAGCGAGAAGGGAGATCAAGGGCTTAGCAGGCTGGAATAATGATGTTGTAGTTTAGCTTCTTTGATACCTGGGAAGCTGAGGAGCCCTGCCTCAGTCTGAGAGGAAGGAGTTAAAATAGAAGTGAGTAGAACTGGCCTAGCTCTGCGAGGTTAATCATAGATATCAATTATTATACACCTACTAAGTCCCTGGGTGGTGCAAACGGTTAACACAATTGGGTGCTAACTCAAAGACTGGAGGTTCAAGTCCCCCCAGACGTGCCTTGGAGCAAAGGGCTGGTGATCTACTACCAAAAAAAAAAATCAGCTATTGAAACCCTTATGACACATAGTTCTATTCTGACACACGTGGGGTTGCCATGTGAGGTGTGATGGGTTGCTTTTGTGTGCCCTTTCTTGCCATGGTCTTGTAACTCTCACTCAAGTGATTGGGTGGGACTGTGTGATAGGGTAATTGTGACCCACCAAAGGGATTGGTCAGTTTTGCCATCCCACTGGGCTTGAGGTGAGCTATCCCAGAGGTGCGAGAGAAAAAAAATCCCACTACCACCAAGGAACAACAGCCAGGAGCCAGCACATCCTTTGGACCTAGGATCCCTGCACTGAGAAGCTTCTGAAAGCAGGAGACCAAAAGAGATAGATAGAGAGAGAGAGAACTGTAACCCTGAAGACACTGAGAAGCAGTAGCAGGAGAGACCTGGCAGCGGAGATCTGGCAGCAGGAGACAGTGCAGTGGGCTTCCTGCCCACAGAGACAGAAAGCTGAGTGACTTTGGGCAGAGGCAGAGGGCCAGGGAGAGGTGTGGTAAGAGGCTGTCTTGCTGGCAGAACTGTATCCTGAGTGTTCCTGAGCCTGAATTTTAACTGTTACTTCCCTGATAAACCTCATAACCATGAGTACTGTCTGTGAGTTCTGTGTGGCCGTTGTAATGAATTATTGAACCCAGCAGAGAAGTAGAGAGTGCCGTGAGAGGGATGGCTGGTGTCAGAATTAGCAAAGATGGTGGAAAGAGGTCTCCGCCTCATACAAATCAGCCTTGGGCTGTTGATCTTGATTCTCCTTCCTTCTTGTGAAGTTAGAGGAGGTCAGACAGTGCCCCAAGCCATTTTTACACCTTAAGTCAGAGTTCACCCGACAGCAACCGGTTTGGGTTCTCATGTATACCAGAGAAGTTACAGGCATGCTCCTTAATTCCCAGAACAATTTTCATACCCAATTATTATTCAATTATTATACCCATTTTGACTGATGAGGACTGACGGCTGATGCTCAGACAGCTCAAATACCTTGTCTATAGCCACACAGCTATCAAGCAATAGTGTGGGGATCTGAATGCAGAACCCTAGTCCTGGCTCGCTTGGTACCCCAGGTGTTTATCCAGGCTCTGCTTTGGGTACCCATTTTATAGATGGAACCAGAGGGGTTAAGCAAATTTCCCAAGGATGCTTTTACTCCTGAGCCTTCATTTTTCATCTCCTTGCTATGCTGTCTCCCCAAAGGATCGCTTTGAGTCCCTTTGGGCCTCCCACTTGTCCTTGTATTGGCACTTCCACTCTCTTCTCCTTTCAATAGTCTTTCCTTCTCTCTTCAGGCTTCCAAGCCCTTTGCCCCTTTCAGCTCTGCCCTCTGACCCAGAGGCCTATAAAGAGCCCCAGGGTCAGGGTGGGGTTCCTGGTCTTACCTGTCTTCCTTCTGCTGCTGGAAGCTTGTGCTGCCAATTAACCAGCCAACCATCCCTGGAGCCACATGCTCTGAGCCGTTCAGACTGCTTAGGAGCTGAAGGTTCTGGATTCGGCCCTCTGCATTGTGCCTCATGAGACCCTGGGCAATAACTGAAAATGGACAAGCAACCAGTGACCTTGCACAGGGTGGTGGTAAAGGTGGGCTTGGTGTCAGCAGGCCTGGATTGCAAGCTGTGCAGCCCTTCTTGGCTGAGCGATCGTAGCTTGTCACTGTGATTCCTCATCTGTGAAATTGTGCTCTGCAGGGTTGAAGTGAGAAATAAATAATACCGCCCCAGCAGAGGGGTTGGCGGCCAATAGCTGCTCAAAGGAGATGTCATAGTTGAAAGTTCACCCGGTGCTTTGTCTCTGTGGGAGTGAGGATAAGAATAAAGGGGAAAATAACATAAAATCAAACAAAAGAGGGGCCTTGCAGTGATTGATGGCATTAATATGTTATGAATTGGTATGTGATGAACTCAACTTCAATTTTCTGTATTTGAGGTCTAAGAAAAATGGAGAAAAAAGGGTGAATGACTGACCTGAGGTCACACAGCAAGGCGGTGGTGGGGCCCAGATGATACCTTCCCTCCCCACCCTGAGGGTAGCAGGCAGAGCAAGAGTCTCAGCTTACTTTGTGCCAGAGTGGACCTGCTCTCTGTGTGAACTTTGGCCAGGCCAGGCCAGGGCTGCTCAGGCAGGGCTGAGTGCGAGGCCAGAAGGCCAAGGAGAATGAAGAGCTTCCAGAGTGGGGACATCTTGGGCACCAGGACCTGCAAGTGCCAGGAAGTTTTAGCTGGGTCCCAGGCGGATGGCTGCAGGGTTGGCTGGCCAGATGGACAGGCTCATGCTTTTCTGGAGGAAATGGCATCAGAGTTAGTCCCCAGTATGCTTTGGGGAGATGTTGCTATGGGCTCTGGCAGCTGCCACCAGGACCTGCTTACATGGTGAGAGCAGCAGGTGGAGCCTGCCGGGGGAGAGGCTGGGGTTCCATAGGGAGGCCTTGTTGCTTGGAGACGCCCAGCAGAGTCCTCTGTTGGGTCATCCAGCAGGAGTCCTGTGCAAGACACTGGCACAGGTTGGACACTGGTGACACTTCAATGAATAAATGAATGGGTGAATGAATGAAGATGGCTAATTCCAGGTTCTCCAATTGAACTAGGACTTTCTTAAGGGCAAGATCATCCTAAGTGCCTACTACAATTCTTGCTTGCCAGAAATTAAGTGCTAATGAATGTTGAGTGACTAAATGACTGAATAAATGAATGAGTGAGGAGCACTGATCTCTGGATCTTCCATCAGATTGTGGGTTTCTTGAGGGCAAGGTATGAGGTTAATTAATCCTAATGGCCATGATGCCTCCCATGATGCTTGCTATATAATCAGTAACAAGTTACCTTCAAACTGATTCTGACTTATGGCAATCCCATGTGTGTCAGACTAAAATGGTGCTCCGCAGGTTTTCAGTGGCTGATTTTTCAGAAGCAGATTGCCAGGCCTTTCTTCTGAGGCATCTCTGGGTAGACTCGAACCACCAACCTTTCAGTTAACAGTAACTGTTTGCGTCACCCAGGGACTCTATGTAGTAGTTACTAGTGAATGTTTGTTAAATGATAAAAATGAATCAATGAATATTTGAACGGATGGATGGATGGATTCTGGATAAAATTTACAGGAGAGGGGCAGAGAGGATTGAAGCCAAAGCATTAGGTTTACTTTAGAGCCTTGGGACTGGGGGTCAGAGAATTCGGTTCAAATCCCTTAGTCTTCCCCCTCTCAAAAACTACCACCACCATCCATCTGGTTGCCCCGGCCCCAGCACTTAGAGTCATTCTTGACTCATCTTTTGTCATCTCCCACAACCCTTCTGTCAGGAATCCCGTTGACACATCCAGAACCTGACCATTTCTAACCACTGACTTAGGAGTTACAATTGGAGCCATTATTCCCTGTCCTTACCTATAAAGAATGTGACCCAGATAGAGTGGCAAGGACTCACAAGGACACATCAACTGGGCCTTGAGGTATAAAAACAATAGCCAGGACAATCTTGGAAAACATCTTTTAAGAAACCTTCACATAAACAAGTACTTAGAGCACAAACCAAACCAAACCAAACCCCTTGCCATCAAGTTGATTCTGACTCAGCAACCCTATGGGACAGAGTAGAACGGCCCCTAGGGTTTCCAAGGAATGGTTGGTGGATTTAAACTGCTGACTATTTGGTTAGCAGCCGAACTCTTAACCACTGTGCCAAGAGGGCTCCAAACAGTAAGATTTGTTGGACCAATAAAGACCCTCCTGACTGTCGTTACTGAAACTTGTACCAGTGATTATTAAGAAAGACAATTCAAAATGCAGAATCATGGTGATTTAGCAGTTTTTAGCCAATCTGTGAAAAGGTGAAGGTTGTAATGAATTTACCCCTTTGTAATGTTCTGTATATACTGATGATTCTAACATTCTTCGGACTCAGGCAGACATAGTTCTGGCAGCATGCTTGTCTGTTTCCCACGTTTGCCTCTTGAAACATATGCCGAATAAAATCGTTCTTGCTTTACTATAACCTTGTGGTGATTTTAGCCTGGGACCCCGCCTCCTAGTCAGCCACCATCATCTCTGCCTGAATAATTGCAGCGTGTCCTAGCTGGTTTCTCAGCTTCTGCCCGTACCCATCTACAATCTCTTTTCACTCCTGCCAGAAGTTCCCGTAGCATATAGGGCAATAGCCAATCTCCATGTGATGGCTCCCAGGCCCTGCAGGGTTTCCATTTCCTCTCTGACTTCACCTCCTACCACTTTCTCCCTCAGCCAAGCTACTCCAGTCAAACATGCCTCAGAGCCTGGGCCCCACAATTCCACAGCCAAGAGCTCTGAGACAAAGGCAGTTTTCCCAGTCCTGGTGCTGTCCTCCCAGACTTGGGGGGCGGGGGGAGGTGTGCAGGATCCCACCCAGTTGAGGGATGAGAACGTCCTTTGCAAGTTTCACAAAAGCCCCGGGCCATTCTTGAGCACTTTGCTTTTGGTGTCATAAGAGATTGTACTGAAAGTATCAGTTCGGGTTGATGACCTTCCTCCATCTGAAATCCTTTCCCAGGTTAACTCTCCCCTTGGGGATGTTTGTAGAATATCAATTACTTCTCAGTGTACTTTTCTAGCCTTCCTGGTCTTGTGTAACAGTGAAATTTTTGGTAGGAAAAAATTGGAGAAGCGTGGGCACTGTTTAGCGGAACAATCCTATTGTTCTTGGCTCTTTGGCCGTCATGGGTTGGGAGAATGTCAGTCACCACAGGTTGTGGTTCTCAGGGCCACAACTTAAAGAAATGACTTCATGTGGGGTGTAGACTTTCCGAGCTTGATGCATGATAAGAGCAAACAGGAGGGCACTGCTGAGGATTTGGAGCCAGCTTGATGCAGAATCATGTGGCAGTTATGAGTCACACAGACCAGGGTTCAATCCAAATCCAAATCAGTTTCCAAATCTGTCCAAGGAGGCTGGTAATGGTGCAGACCTCAGGCTGCAGTGAGGAATAAGGGAATCCTGCTAGGTCAGTGCTCAAAAAATGTGTCATCATTACTGCTGTCATCCTTACCCTCATCTCTCTGAGCCTCGGCTTCCTCATCTGTAAACCAGAGAAGCTGATGGAGTAAATGACACAAAGTATGAACAGTGTGAAGGGACGATACCTGGGACGCAGCAGGTGCACAACGTAGAAGGGAGCCACCTCTGCTGAGCACCTTCACAATGACAGCCGGACAATTTTGGCAACTCTAAAAAAACACAATTATCATTGTGTTGATTCTGACTCATGGTGACCTCGTGTGTCAGAGTAGAACTGGGCTCCACAGGGTTTTCAGTGGCTGATTTTTTGGAAGTAAATTACCAGGCTTTTCTTCTGAGGTGCCTCTGGGTGGACTCGAACTTCCAACCTTTCAGTTAGCAGACGAGTGAGTTAACCATTTGCACCACCCAGGCACTCTTAGTGGGCAGAACTTACAACTGGGGACTGAAATGGAAACCAAGGTCATTATGGCTCAGAGTCTGGGGAGGGAAGTCTTGTGTGAGACTGATCAGACGGTGGGATTTGCTGTCATTCATTTAACAAATAAACCAGCTAAAACCATTGGGCGCTTAGAAGTGCCAGGGCTGTGGGCTCTGGGGATCAAATGGAGAGCAGCCAGGCAAGGTCCTCGCTCTCCTGGAGCTCACACACCTGTGGGCGAGGCCACCAGTCTTCAAACATCCCTGCAACTGAGCATGTGGTTATGGAGTGTGGCCAACTGTGAAGGGAGGTGAGAGATGCTCTGCAAAGGCACAGTGAGGGGAGACCTGGCCAATGTTGGACAGCGGGGAGGTGGCAGGGGGGAAGGGGCAGAGAAAAGACCTCCCTGAGGAGATGGAGTGTGAGCTGACATTCAAAGAAAAAGGTAAGTTATCCAGTTGCCTGTCCCCACTGGTGCTTCCAGAGAGAAGGTGGCAGAATGAGGAACATTTCTTCGTAAGCGATGACAATGGCAGGGCTGATGTTTATTTGCTGGGCGTCATTCACTATGCTAAGCCTGCTCCGTGCACGATCTCATTCGATCCTCACACCATACAGATGAGGAGACGGGGACCCAGAGAGACACAGTGGTCTGCCGTAGGGCCAGCCTGGAGGAGACAGAGCTGGCATTTGAGCTGGCTCTCTTGTTCTCCCCAGAGCTGCCCGGGATGTGATTTCCTTTGGAAGATGGAGCTGCTGGACGACTCCAAAACCTCACCATTACCAAACTCTTTAACTTTTTCAAATAGCTTTTCTTAGAACGAAGCCCTGGTGGTATAGTAGTTAAGAGTTCGGCTGCTTCTTGGAAACCCTATGGGGCAGTCCTACTCTGTCCTATAGGGTCCTATAGGGTTGCTATGAGTCGGAATTGACTTGACGACAATGGGTTTGTTTTTTCTTTTCCTTAGAAAAAACTTCTCTACCTTTTGTGGGGTATTTTGAAAATGTGATGAAAACTTTGGTTTGTCTCTTTTTTGGGGGAAACAAAAGGACCTAGTTAAAAAATGTTACTCTCTGTTCCAGGATTTCTACGGACCTCCTGTTGACACAAGTTTAAAAACCCTGCCCTATGGAATAATTGGTTTTCAAGGGGTTTGACTTGGGTAAAAATTTATTGATTGATTCATTCGTCCAAACATTACTTATTGTGGACTTACTGTGTGCCAGGCACCGTGCTTAAAACACAGCAAAACAGACACCCTGTGCTTTAGCAGCTTATAGTCTGGTGAGGGAGTCAGAACAAGACCAAATAAACAATAAATAAAATAATTACGAAGTGTATTAAGGGGGAAAGGCAGGGTATGAGATTGGGAATAGCAGGGAGATTAGACCAGGGGCCAGGGAAGGTCTCTCAGAGGAGATGACATTTGAGCTGAATCCAGAAGGAGGAGGTGGAGCCAGCCTTGAGTGTAGATAGGGAGAGGGCATGCCCAGGAAGGAACTGCAAGAGCAAAGGCCCTGAGGTGGGAAAGGGCTCAGCAAGATGGAGGAACAAAGGAAGATGGTGTGGCTTTAGTCTCCTGGGTGAAGGGCCCTGTGGGGTGAGGTGATAAGTCGGTGCACATGTGCTCACGCCCACTGTTGCAGAGAGGGGCCATCCAGCAGGACAAAGAGGCAGGAGCTTCTCCTGGCAGAGCCTGGGCAGAGAGCAGAGCTGTGTACACGTGCACCCTTCTGTGGCCCATCAGGGCGCTGCTTCCTCTTCTTAAGGATCT